ATACTAGTATCTTATAATAAATGTTTCAAATTTAAGCACTCTAAAATACTAAAAGATATATGAACATTAGTTTTCATCAAATTTAGTACTGAGCTAATTGCATTTAACAATGAGTTTACTATTCTCATTTTTATTTCAGACCACAAAGTTCTTTTATTGTGCCTATTAAAAAATAATGTCCTTCATATTTTATCAACATATTCATTAAGCAAATATCTATGGAATTAAAGCGGTATAATTAATAATCTGTCAACTCAATCAATATTTTTAAAATCTTAGAATTAATTATTGTGCAATTTGTAGTCAAATTAAGGAATTATTTTGATATCTCTAATTAATTCAAACTCATCTAGGTTGTTAAGACCATTTTAAATTGATAATAAAAATACCAATCAAGAAATATAAATAGTTATGTAGTGAACAAATATGAAAATCTGTTAGTGCTAGGAATAATTTAGGGTAATTCATCAACTTTATAATTTTGGAGATTACCAATTAATGGGAGATGATTCAAGATTTAGTATTTGATTATCCAAAAAATTGTAAAATAATAAATATTTGTTTAACTAATTGGATATTCTAGTCATATATAGGTATAATGAAGTAAATAAATCATGGTTTTTACCATAAATATATTAGATTAGATCTATTATGGAGTATTACTTAATAAATGAAACTAAGCTTATAATGATGCAAGCAATTCTTAAAAAATTTTGTTGGGCTTTCTGTAAGGAAGGCATTCGATCCTATTGTCTAAAAAATTAGGATGGTACTTGATGTAAAAACACAAATTAGTGAATATATCAAGGGTTTATGCTACTGTGGAAGAAAATCTCTCCTTGTAACTCTTTAAAGAGGAAAAAATTTCAATTTTTATTTTATATTATAAGCAAAATAAAATAAGAATGATTATCATTAATTAGATACTTATTATGTTGCAATTAAATCATAAATCTCCCTTTATGATTAGAAGAATGCATTCAATGCAATTTTGGAACTTTATTTATAGATCTTTTAATCTTATGGAATTCAGAATACCAATTTAATTTCAAAAATAATTCATTTTTTTGAATTAAATTCTTTGTTGTTATCCATTTTAACTAAATCTAATTTCATTATCGCTAGTTTGATAAGTTTGAGAAAACTTTGCTATTATTTACAAATTCTTTATTCAAAAATTTTCATCTATAGCTTAATCCATCAAAATGGATCTAATTTATTTTCCTCTGATTAATATTTATTATTTCTAAGATCTTTATTATACGAACTCCCTATTTAAAAGTTAGCTTGATAATTATTGGATCATTTAAGTGAATTTTAACTAAATTCAATTTAGCCTTTTTAACTGATTCTTATCCTGCCTCTGATGTTAACTTTTAGAAAAAAATAAATAATAGTAAAACTAAAGTGTTTTCTAAATATGTATAAAATATACTATATTATTTTCTAGTTTGGTGGTTCGAATTGAATTTAATTCTTTATATTGAAGTTACTTATTATTTTTTTAGCATTTTTAAAGGCTTCAATAGTTTACAGATAGTCTATATCATCTGAAATTTGCTAAAAATATCTCTACATTTGAATTATATATTGAAATTCTATATAATCTTCTGATTTCGAAATAAGTTCTTATAATAATTTAACATCCTTCCAAAATTCGTCTAAGTTAAAAAATTTTTCAGATAAAGATAATTTTTGTGATTTAAGTGTAATTTATTTTGACAATTCATTTTAGATTTTTACAAACAGTATTAACCTTATATTTGAAAACTATTGACTTTAGAAAATGGCAACAATGAAAAACAAAGTGTAAATGAACCTTCAAATAATTTGAAACTTTTGAGTAAGATAAGATATTCATATAATATAAAAATAATTTAAAATATATATTCTTCTACATTTGATCTCAATGCCCTTTATGATATTGTATTTTGTATATTAAATTTTAATGGCATATCAATTTATTGATTCATTTAAGGAAATTAATAGAAATGAACTAATAGAAGAACTATAAAAGTTAATAGAATATCTTGTAAGGGATATCTGTAATAATATAAGAATCTATTGATATCTTCAATTAAAACTTAAATTAACTAGAAACTAGTTTAGATTAAGCCATTTTATTTCTTATGAAACTGAAGGATAAATATATATAATGATGTTTATAAAAAATGATGCTTATTTCATTTAGAAACTACTTGAAATTAATCTCCCAGTAATTTTCAAATAATTACTTTAAATAGGAAAAATTCTTAATTTAAGTTTTTCAACTTTTCAGAAATCAAATTAATATAGTTGTCTAATAATTTGCTAATTTTTATAATAATGATTTCCGTATTAAAATCAGCTTTAATTATAGACTTAAGACTAACTTAAATTTTACTAAAAATTATTGCTGACTGTTACATTAAACTAGGATGCCATTTTAATTATTGTTTTTTGATAGAATTTTAATGGTGAATATGATAATTTGGTAGTATTGACTTCAGGGAGTTTGGCTGAACGTATAGGGGAAAATTCCTAAAATAATTGCCACTTTAAATGATTTGAGAGCCCTTAAACCTGATGGGAAGGAATATAATATATATTCAAGCAACATGAAGTCATTTTTGTCTAATTATTCACTTTGTTTCAAGGTCATAGAGAACTTATTATTTCAAAAAGAGGTATTCAGCCTCTTTTAAATTAGCTCATAACTAAATATATCCTATGAAA